AATCATTATGAGAGACGGATTGCAAATTAGGGATAATGTCGTGAAGTCGAACATTTTGTTGAGTAAGGAGCGAGCATTGATAAGACAGAATGAGAGAGAGTTAGGGGTGACGGTGAAATCGCATATATCTTTAAAAATATTCTCTCCAAGGTTTATGGCGTCTAGAACAGATTGTTTGATGGGTGCTAACTCAGATGGTGGCCACTTACTAGCAGTGCTGGAAAAGTGCCCTACACCAGTATCAGCACAGAGAGATGTGCCATCGTTTGTTACCCCGGCGGGTGTGAGGTGTTCATAATACCGTGCCTCCAATGCATCGCCCTCCCATCCGGTGATAAGTGGCTTGACAGTATGTGTGCTATTTGCGTCAATATTGAGGCTGAAATTTCGTGTTGGCTGAGAAAATTTAGATTGGATGGGGGGAGGTAGGTATTCCTTGTGGATAGTATGCTGGGGTAGAGTTACGTGTATCGCAGTTATGACTAATATTTTGTGTGTTTAAGTTATTTTCGTAAATATTAGTCCATTGACGGTCTTGGGTGGTCTGTATGCGATGGTTTTCGGGGATGTGGTGAGTCAAAAGGCCACCTTTAGGAAACATGCCTAGCGCACTTGTTCCTTGTTGTAGAGGTCCCTGGATCAAACTTTTGTCTATAGTAGCCATAGATTGGAAAGTTGTGTCGGGGTAGGTGTATGCCTGCCCGTCGGGCTTCGACTTATTTTTAGGGTGCCCAGACATATAGCGTCTGTTGTGTCTATCGGACGAAGACTTGTTTGATGTTGGATGAATCGGCGGGTTACCTCTCTTTTCATTGACGTTAGATTTATGGCGGTATGAGGGCTTATTCTGCTTCCCTGGTTTAGTGGTATGATTGGGGTCGCTTAAGTTAATGTTATCTGGTTCGCTGCTGAGAAACCTATCAGTGATGTGTTTGAGTACAGGTATTCTGGATGGCAGGGTTATTTTACTTCGTTTTGTATGCTCACTAATCTGAGTGCTGCTCGGGGAGGATATGCTTAATGCTACATGCTCGAGCTTAGTCTTTTGCTTAACGTTGGTAGTGGTATTAGCGGCTGATGGTGATGTGGCTAGCGAGCATAACTCTGAAGATGCATCTAAGTCTATGACCGTAGTTGCTTCATCGTTGAGTTTACTAGGTAAATTTTTATTATTTAAGAGTATTTCATGTATGTCTGTACCATTAGGTTTACTCAAGTTTAAGGCGACAGAGTCTTCTATAGGACATTCTGCTGTTACGTAAGTTTTTGCGACACTTGGTACACTTGCGCGGCTACGTCTTTGACATGGCGTTAGGTCATGGGCAAGTTTAATATTACCATAAGGTGTGGATGAACTAATTAACTTATTTGACGACTGAAATTTCCTAGCATCATTAGGACTACTGAATTTAAACAGCACAGGGCAAGTATACTTTCCTGATTTTTTCCTGAGTCTGATTAGGTGGCAATTCGCTGATGGCATGCCACACGCTTGGAGACATGTCACTTTGATTTTGTCCAGAGGCGTCCGATCAGGCAGATTGTAAGCGAGAACGTTGTACGAGGACATGATTCGTTTAGTAACTTCACTGGCTATAAAGTCTAACATACGCTCAGATTTCAGCAGACTTTCCGGATTAGCATCATGAGTTGGGTTACAAAGAAGCAGTAGTGGCTTAATGGTGTTTATATTCTCATTTAATTCCTTCACAGAGTTTCCTAGAGATATAAGGTCCAACTTATTTTGTTCAGCAGTTGCATATACCTCTGACAACAAGTCGGGAACAATGACTTCGGGGACATTGTTGAGGCTACGCGGAACGCACAGTGATGTACGTATCTTCTTAGCTGAGTGACCCAAACTATTCTTACGTATGGAAAGTACTCGTTTATTACGTTGTGCCATTGCTGAAAACTAATCAATATGGTTTAAAGTTAAAGCCGAGCTAAATCGAGAACGGTTGTAAATGTAGTTGAAGATTGAACGATCAATTCATGGTTGTTTGCTCAAAACCAACTTCCCCAATTTTCGCGGGGGCATCAATACGACAGTCATCGTCTCATCGGTCGCTGTTCAGAAAGAAGTCAGGAGACAACTGTCAGAAGTAATATTGTGATTTATTATTGTAATATTTGTTCACAGACCTTAGTAGAAACATTTTTTATATGTTGGTATTACAATAAAGAATTCTCAAGCGGCCAATCGGTGTTTTGGTTTTTGCGTCCGTTATTACTAAGCGTTTCTGAGAAACTTCAAGGAGCAGCGTGAGCCCGAGCGTAGCAAGAGCTGGGCATTACCGGTTTACGAGACGTGGCTGACAGTTGCTGACGATGAAGTCAGTTTTCGACGGTTTTGGACCGTTGGTGACAGTTTGGATAGTCACCGTTCATCTTTCCTGGTGCCGGTCAAGTCCTCTTTGAACAAGCAATATCTGGAACGCTTTTGGAATTGGGTCAAGTTCAACAATGCCTGGGTCAAAGAAGGGACAGAGTGTCTTGGATGCAAACAGGAAAGTAAGTCATGGTGACTTGTCTGTTAATTGTAACGATGTGTCTGATGTTAAGCATGACATGGTTGATGTTACTGTTTCGCCGTTCAGGGATAATAGGAACATCAAACTCCCTAAATTAGAACCACGGTGTTTTGATGGAAACCCGGCTGATTATTTACAATTTGTAAGGGAGTTTGAGATCATGCTGAGTAGTTTTCTATTAAGTGATGAATTGAAGTTAATGTATTTGATGAGGTATTGCACTGGAGATGCTTCAAGAGCTATACAGTGCTGTAAGCTCATGCCGCCTAATGAGGGATACGCTGAGGCTATGAGCATATTACGTCAAAGGTTTGGAAGACCTTCAATGATTGTAAGGAACGTATACGAAGCTGTCAAAGGTAACGGCACTCAACTTCAAGATGACTCCAAGGCACTCACTGAGTTTTTAGATAATCTTATGACTTATAAGAGTACCTTGATTTCGATGAATTGCATGAGTGACCACAACTCGAGTTTTATACTAGAAGTAATAGCAAGACGCCTACCTACTCGACTGAAAAGAAAGTGGGTGAAGATAAGCTCCCGTATGGAGGATGAGGGTATCGAGCCAAAGTTTGATGATATCCTGAAACTAGTAAAAGATAGCGTCAATCAATCTATGAGCAAGTTTGCCAGTATATTGAATCTCACTCCTAGAATAGAGCAGTCTGAGGGTAAAATGCAATCATTGATGACGAATAGGCCTCAGAGAGGTGGATATCGAGAAGGCTCCATGATGTCTAGTAATGCATATAGACCTAGTGAGTGTAACAGGTTTCGTAGTACATCCCCAACAGATAAGTTACAAGCTGCAAGACAAACACGGTTGTGTTTTACACGTTTGGAAGAAGTGCATACAAGGGTGAACTGGGAACCAGTGAGCAAGTTCAGTGATAAGCTAAATGTAAACTCCAGGCCTGACTCCGAATTGTGTGACGATAACGGTGCAGTGAAGAAGTCTGTAGTTACAACTGGTAAGCCATTGTTGATTAGAGTGTCACAGAATAGAGTTATTGCTTCAGAGAGCAGTTCTGACTCCACAAGTTTACAAGGTATAACTATTCAGAGTGAAGATATAGAACCTTTAATGATTTGTGAGGAGGAACCAAAATTGTCTACTTCTGTTACTTAAGATTTTCTTAATGATGAGGTCGACCAGATAGATGATGATAAATTGAATATTTGTGATAATGATCATGTTAGTGCAGATTTGTCTTTGGTTGATCATGATGAAATGGGGGGGGAATGCCTACTACCGCTAAGTTAATAATGGTTCTGTACAACTTGAACGTGAAGTAGAATTAAATGCAGATGCAGTTGCAGAAGGCATGCATACTTGTGAGACCGTCAGTGTGAGTGATCAGCATGTAGCCCACCTATCATCAAATGATAGTGCTAAACCTGAGCTGATAGTAAAAGACAGCAGTGGTGGTGGCCTTGCAGTTAGACAAATTTCTGAAAGCCGAGCAACAACAGCTGCTGATCCACCACTAAGTTCATCGACCGGTATCAATCAGTCGTCGTTGGTGTTGTCAACCACAATGAAACAGACGCCCATCAACTCAAGTATCTTGTGCAATGACTATGATAGTATCAGTTCGTTTGAATGGACGAATATCAATGGTTAGTTTAGTGAGGATAAGCCAAGTGTAAACGAGAGAGTAATTGTTAAATTGACTTGCATGAATAAAGGCATTTCTAGTTTCAAGTTACCATTTGAATGCTATTATCTTTGGTGTAAATTACTCTGTTTCTACGCTTGGTTGACCAGATACGTCGTGTGTTTGTTCGTCATCTATATTCTACGATACAATGACATGGGCGTGTTACCGTTCAAATTTAAGGATATGGCTGACAGAAGGAAGTCAGCAAATGAACTCTGCGATGATTTTCCAACCTAGAGCGTCAACCTGAGAAGGGTTGTAGGCGTACTGGTGTAAGTAGAATTTGTCAGTTTCTACTCGTATCCTCCGCAAGTCGAACGCCATTTCCTTACTATATTTCACCATATTATCTCCGTATTTCTCGTACATAACATCCGCAAGATTTCCTGATACAAAGAAAGCTTTACAAGTCTGTGACAGCATAAAAACAGCTAATCCCATCACTTACCATGTCCAAGTTGACACGAACCTTCCACTGTGGTCTTACGCTGCTGATAAAACCTTTGTAGATAGAGAAAAGTTTCTCTGAGACCACCTTAATTGGCTCTTCTTGAAATAGGGCGGCACGTCCAAGGGATACAAAGGACTGTTTGGACACAGTTTTCAAAATACAGTCCAATAATCTTATAGATTCCTAAACACGGTTGGAAGCGTAATTCTGCCTTACTTGTGGAATGTTCAGCGACGTAGCTTTAGGGTTACTTACATACTCATAGACATCGTCAGTTGATACTTTCTTAACTTCCATTATTTGGTACTCCAGGAGGAGATTACCACGACCCAATGGATCACTGATACTCACTTCTTTCTTCACTGGATCTGTGGTTATTCCAGGTAGGCGCTCCAAGGAATATATATCATGGCCCCCATCATAAACTATCATTTTAGGTAGTCTTTGCAAATACAGGAATACAGTAAACATGTTAATTTTGTTAGAAACAAAAACCGAAAACTTGGAAAAGGCTTCTCGTTAATTATTCTTACTGTTTCCATACTTCAAGTTACTTGTGAAAGCATCAGCAACTGGTCGAACTGTTCACATTTCAAGCTATCGCATCACTTCCTTTGACATTGGACAACCACTCAGCATAGGAAACTTTCAAACATGTGATGTGTACACCAGTTGGTAAAAGTGTTTGACTTCAATTTGTCACATACAAATTAATAAATGTACCTCTATCTATTGTGGAATCTGAAGATTTAAGTTGTTTTGAAGAACACTTATTTTCCTGAGAGTATGTTGCAGGTGTACAAACGAAACAATTTATTATTGTTAACGTTACAATTATCTATATACTTTTTTAAAATTCGTTCTATCTATCTTCTCCTTTGGCTGACTGACAGACTGGTATCAACGTAGAACTTTTCACAGGTGTGCGCAACAGTTCGAGTTGTCACTCTCCCTCCCTCCCTTCCTCGATGTAGCACACAAAGAAAGAGAACAGAGTAGAGAAACATTCAAAACAGAGATAATAAACAGAAATTTGAAGTAAAAATGAATAGCGATATGAAAGAATAATTTGGTTTTATTGGATATTATAAGTCACAAGGAGTAAATGTATCTGTCCCACCCATTCAGAACGATTTTCAGCCATACCACCGATTTTCTCCACCCATTCGGTTTTGGCTTCCCGAAGACGGGTGACTACAGATGAAATCAGAACTCCAGTCACGGTAGGATTAGAACCAGCGGTCTTTGAAGTTCCAGACAGGCACAAGTCTTGAACACGATTTAAGCCGACATGTTAATGGCAAAATTAGAGAATCATCCACTCAACGAACTCTCATTCTACTGTAGATATATGGACGACACTTTTACCTCGAGTAATAATAATCAAATCGATCCAGAGGTTTTTCTCCAAGCGTTCAGTGTAACACACCGACAAACTGAATTCATATATGAAAAGGAGAAGGACAACACCCTATCATTCCTCGATGTCCTGATAACAAGAAAGAAAGATGGCATTATTAACAGGGGTATTTTCCGAAAGAAGTCATGACTTGGCCAATACACCCATTCACAGGCGTTTGTTCCTCTTACATACAAACGAAATCTCCTCAGTACCCTGGTGTATCGTGCTAGAAAAATCTGCACAGCCGACACTCTAGACGATGATAGAAGCAAAATAGAAAACCTTTTTTTATACGAGAACGCATAGCCCGAAAATTTGTCAAAGTCTCGATGAGGAGAGCAGACAGAAAGAAATGCCTGCAAACGATGCAGAAGATATGTACATACATGACTTTATTATTCAAAAGATACACAGCAACTGAATTACTGGCATCGAAACTTAGGAAAATAACAGCTTAAACATTCTTTGTCGCAACATTGTGTTTAAAGTTTGCCACTCGTTGTATAATTCCAAATCAGGCGAAGGATCCGTTACTGAGTCTGGCCACTTCACAATGAGCATTTGTAAATCTAACTGTTCATGTGGAGACAGTTACATAAGTAGGACGACTCGGTAAGCCCATCGTCACCCTCTGGAGCACTGTCCAATATGGTTCGGTAGCGGAGTCCTAAAGTCAATCAGAAGAGAGAACAAGGTTGGCAAAAACTCAGCTTCATTAATTCTGTACAGAATGCCACCTCAACTCCCTAGGTTGGTACTTCTTCGGTCGCTAACCACACCTGAGTCAGTCGCCAGAAAGATTTTTCACCCAATATCTGTGTTCACGAATAGTTTGCTCAATCTCTCTCCCCTCCTTGACCTTCGTCCCCAACCTAAAATAGGTATCTCTTCCGGTGACACTGGATAACTGTAAATATTGTCCTTTCACATTTTTTAAATTTTACTTTACTTTATTTGTAATTCTAACTGTATTATCAATATCCTGTTGTGCTGTAGTTGTATATTTTACTCTCGGTTTCACAATTTATTATTATATCATCTAATGGCTAATGTGACAGTAATTGTTTCCCCCTCTACCATCACCACCACTACTATCGGTATTTGCTCCACAATTATCATCATGGGAGGTATTTAAATTATATATGCATTCAACTAGTCAATTATAAACACAACAAAGATGTGCACTACCTGTACTTTGAGCAGTCAGTCAACTAGTACTTACTATTTGAGAGTAGTAATGCAATCCCATGCACAATGACAAAGTTAATATCTCTTATAACTGTCAAACACACACAATATTAAGAAAATGTAATTAATGTGAAAAATGACACCGTTGCAAGTCTAAATAATACTACTACTATTACTAACTTCTGAGTAATGTGTGAAATTAAATCACGTTTATCTTTCGGAGACATTCGTATTTCACACTTTACTGCATCTTTATCATTGATACGAGACACTTTGTTAACCTCTGCACGGTACATGTAAAGAACCTTCGGTTGAACAGAGAAATCCCAACAGTTCACAGTGACAGTTGTCGGTTTCCCCTCCTTACCGCCTTTGTCTGGTCTGCTGGGAATAGACACATTAGTCAAACTCAGTCTGAAAAGAAGAACAAAACAAAAGACCTCAGTGATCAAATGAATAACAGGGTAATTACATATTGGTGTAATGCACACACACACACATAAGAGTCGAAAACTTACTTAGAAACTTCTTCCGAAAGTGGAGATCTAAAAGAAAAATAAATATATACAGTAAACAACACACGGCGAAACATGAGATTTATGTGTGTATGAAAAACTGTCGTTTAGACAACTTACGTTGACACCAATTTCGGATGACTTTTCTTCTGACGTGCGGTTTCTGAAGGAACTATTGCTTCCTTCGAAGAAGACGAAACATCCAAACCACTAGACGGACCCGGAGACACTGATGTAGACAAGGAGGGCCTAACAAACAAAGCAATAACAATATGAGAAACAGAGAAAGCATAGAAAATAGCCACGAAAGCATTACGGTGGGGACAGTTGAAAAGTGAAGATTCTCCCGAAACATTGTATACAACCACGACTATTGGTGCCGAAGTTTCACATGTTCACACATACACACCACTTCACATAATCTCAGGCAATAACTATCCGGATATAACAACAAACACGAACGAACCATACAGACTGAACAGGCTTTAAAATTTATCAGGTACATATGAAAGTGACAAATCTCTGGTATTCTCTCCAATATCTGATGTTGTATGGTGAATGTTTCACCGAAAGGCTAACTGACTCTATCAGAACACGATTTATCAAGAGGTGAAGTATATCCTAACTGCATCAACGTTAATATGGCATGTTTACTGAACTTGAATCACAATGAAATACAAATCAAGTTAAATTGTCAGCCGTGTGATGACATGTCTGACCATGATTCTTGTCGCATTAAGAGAACAAAATGAAATAAACTAAAAGGCTTCAATTATGTAGAGTTCTTGATAAGACTGGTGTAACAACAGAAGACAAGGGCCAGGCAACAGATCGTTTTATTTTGAAAATCAAAACGTATTTATACATATTTCACATACATTATTATAGACAAGCGCAGTCATCTGATTGGTTGTTTATCAGAAGCTATGCAGACAAACGCAGGCTTCTGATTGGTTGTTTCGGGATTCCCTGACAAATAGAGTTCTCTATCTGCGAATCATATTTTGCCACGTTAACTTTGCTGTGATTGGTTGTTGACTCAGCCTTGTTCATATTTTCTCACGGCCCATATTGATGTAGATTAGTGTCAACCAATCGGCTAGCAGCCTGCTCTCACCACACTGGGACTAGGATGGCGTTCAAACCAATCAACTCACTCAGAGGTGAACTTCGTAGTGGACCAAATTAGGTAAAATGACGTCATTTTTTAAATACCATGTAATGATTATGTGGTCAATTACATAGGTCAAACAAGTAGATCGGCCTTAAATGGGTTGTCAGACTACAGGAATGTTAGTACACCTAGAATAATTGACACCGCTAAATTAAATAATCGATTAATGCAATGCATAAGCCTGCATATAACCACATGAGAGGGTCGGATACCGTGAAAGTATTATAAAGTTGATTTATCTGTGTCATTCCAATCGTAGTATATACATGCCACCAGATCAACGTTAAATACTGAATTCCTGTTCACTGGATATAAACCAAACACATGGAGTAGGAGTGACGCGACATCTATCATAAATATGCCTGAAGAACAAGAGGGACTAAAGCTATCTTAAGCAAGTCAGGACTCCATGTAAATACACTTGTGTGGTTATGGGTGACAGACAAGTTGTACTCTAAGCGTCACTACTCAGTTGTGAATACTATATCAATGTGTTTCATCAAATAAACTTATCTAATGTGATATAATGCCCCACCACAATCCCGAAATTCTGCTCCTACAAAAAACACATGCCCATTTATTCACTTTAATCAAGCGATATACATATGACAACTACACGAATAAGGACAAATGAAACAACACCACATCTCTGTACAGGCAATTATTCATGTAAAAATTTACTTCATCTTACCCTTCACGTGTGGCATTTGACGAACGGTCATCACGATCCATGCCCTCTTGAACACCAGATGGACTGATATATTACAATGAAGGAGAAAGTGAATATTATGATAATGAATTCATGAAAAAAATATGTGAGATACATCCAAATATCAAATTCACCATGGAATATGAACATAATAATGAGTTCAATTTCCTGGATCTAAATGTAAAATGAACAAACGAAGGCACGTTCGAAAAGTCAATCTATAGAAAAGAAACCTGGACTGGACAATATCTTCACTATAACAGCTTTTGTTCCATAAGCTATAAACGTGGATTAGTGAGGACTTTGTATGACAGAGCCAGAAAGGTATGTTCACCAAACAGGGTCGAAGAAGAATTAGTTTTCTTCGAGAAATGCCTAAGGGAAAATGGATACCCTAAGGGATTTATTCAGAAGTACAGCAGAGGAAAAGATGAGAAAGAAAAGCATCCAACTGTAGAAAAGAAAAAAGTGTTTATCTGTCTACCATACAAAGGAGATGCAGTGTCACAAAAGATTGACAAAAGACTGAAAGGTGCAATAAATAGAAGCTTCCCAGCAGCAAAACTCATAACAGTATACAGCACCACTCCTTCTTTAATCCACTCAAAACTGGATAAATACCCTGCTGATGTCACCTCCAACTGCGTTTATGAATTCACGTGCACTTGCGGGAGCAAGTACATTGGAAGGACAGAAAGAAGGGCTTCTATCCGGTTTTCTGAACATATTCCCAAAAACCTGTGCTTGAAAGGAAGCAGATATTCCCAGAGTGTAATTACCAGACACATTATTGATACCGGACATCTCGTAGAGATTTCTGAGTCCTTCAAAATATTAAATAGACAAAGGACACCAAATTCACTACGATTTGCCGAAGCGATCGCAATCAAACGATTTAAACCAGACTTATGCATACAGAAAGAGAGTGTGATTAACCTCTCACAACCTTGGTAAATGAATTTTGATTCTGATTACAATAATTAGTCATCTAATTCAGTGATCTCAACTCACTGAACAAATCTTAATCTCATATACTGTAACCGCTTTTGTTTTTTGAGTTGCTATGTGAACCTACAAGCTAACACTGTTCTGTTAATCAATTTTTTCTCTCTTACCCCTCCCCCTCTTTTCAACTTTAAAAACGTATAAATTGATGATGAAAACTTAAACTAAAAACATTGTAATGCTTTCATTTAGATGCGTCAGTTTTATAGTATCTCTTTTCTACCTCCACTTGAACATTAGAGTATCTTATCATCATCTATATAACCATTGTAATTTCAGGTAGTCTGCAGCTGATGAGAACCTGTGAAATAGAATGATATCATTTTATACTGCAAATTTCGTCTTCCTTTCTTTATCGAAATTTATCAAGGGAACCAAATGTATGAAAAAAATATGTAATTTATATTCTCATCACAGAGCAAACCACTAAACGTAACACAACTAAAGTCATTTACATTAAACAGAGACAAACATCCAAACGTCAAAATACAACTATACTTACTCCTTGATAAAATACCAACGACCATAGTTCATAATCAGAACACATCAAGGACTAGATCACTAATCATGTGGAACAGCCAATTAACATGAAGGAAATTAATACAACCTCAGAATGGTAGGCAACACAGTCCGTGTTTTAAAAACGGATGTATACTAAATTACTGCTCCACTCATCAACTTCATCGTTCACCAAAACTAGGGTCAATAACAACAACATTGCTGTACAGACCATCATCTCTTGTAACACAATCACTTCTCATCCTCTTCGTATTCAATGTCTGACAAGTGCTGTTGATTCTGTAACATCAACAGTCCAAGTCACAATAAACTGAATATTTTCATCTTTAAACCCACTAATAAATAAACCACCACACTAGGATTGTATTACACACCACAGGAACTCATAATAATCTCCTCTGTTGGATATGAAACTCCAGCATATATTAACCCAACAGACACCATCATTCACTTACACCCAATTACAATAGCTGAACTCAATTCAAGTTGAAATCAAGTATGTACATCACTAAGTGACTTCAAGCATTCTCCTTATATATTCTTTAGTCTCAAATTCTATCTCGTATCACCATTATGGACGGTTGTACTCTCAATTACTATCCGAACGCATTAAGCAACTCTGGGCCATTCGCTTGACAACAGATAGACTGTTCTCAATTCTCATACTGAAACCTGAACGATGTACAGGACTGACAATCAAACACAGGTTGTATATTTCGAGATATCAGTGTTATGCGTGAGAGGAGTGACTATTGGAGGTTTGTGTGAGTTCTTTGACTCAGAATCAACTAATTCCACGATGAGTGGTGGTTATGGGAATACCGGCAGTGCAGATACGTATAACCCAGCCAGCCTACCATGAAGAAGTTCATATGTATCTACGATTAGGAGATTGGCGGGTAGAATTCCAGGGTAGTCACGCATCCTTCCGGTGTTCATTTTCTCAGTGATATACAAATTGACATCCGACTTCCGATTCCACGTGTCTTTTAGTTGAGATGACTTTCTGATTTCTGTGTGTGGAAGACGTGTTGTTAGCACTATATACTTCACCAGGTATTTCGAATGACAAGTGGCACTAAGTATTTCGCCATGATGCTGCTTCTCATTCTCACAAGTGCCTCCTTGCGTGTACCTAAGAAATCGTGGGATTGTGAATTTTAGTCAAGAAGTTTTGACTTAGACCAAAAGTGAAATATCTAATGGAAATTCCAACAGTGAAGACATCCTTTGAGATACAGAAATTGGATCAATAAATGTAGATGTGGAGGAACTAGATACAGATGGAGAAATGTCAACAAATCTCAAGGTAGTTGCAAATTATACGTTGCTGTATTGAATTTAAATTGAATATATAAATCTACAGGCTGAGAAAATTCCGGTCTGTGCACTGAGAATTAAACTTACCCACTGCTTTGCTGATGTTTCCGACCTTTACGAGACTTCTTTCCCCCACCTGAGCTCCTGGAAACGAAAATGGATACATGACTTTTGTGTGTACAAAACACAAAGTACATACATACATGAAAACTATTAAATTACAATCACTTCGTCGTGTATCAGTGGATATCGCCAACATAACTGCTCTCATGTGTCTTTACAATTAGCTGCTGTTGAAGAGTGGTTCTCATATCCTGAAATATAGTTGTTCTTCTCCAGGCATTTTGGAAGAGCGACAGTGCTCCTTTAGTGCTTCTGCAACGGACTAGTGATGAAAGAACCAAACTTGTGTACTACTGTAGTACGGTATAACTTCACAATCACAGACTGGATATTTCCAGGCATTTTCAGAACGACTACCGTTGTCACGCCTCCCACGTGTGTTTTGATACAGATAAAAGCATGGGAGAATTAGCACATCCTCTAGAATGACCGACAGTCCTTCCTGGAGTAACTGAAGGCGGCATAGGTTTGCAATAGACCGAACAGCTTTAGATGGAAATCATTTCAGCATGTTTCGACGTGCAGCCAGTGGTTGCATAAGTATAGACTGACAAGGTGCTACTGCAAGTGAAACATTCCTGATCTTCTGTAAACTTCTGCGTACGTCGTCCCAACAATCGAATGTCGTAGCTATGGTTGACTCCAAATGAGTAGTACTGTGGTTATTTTATGTGGTTTGTAGTATGCGGTGTGTTAAGACTGTCAATACTGTGAATGGAGTTGATGTTTTCACAAATTAGTCCTCTGGTATCGTCATCAAAAGAAAAGACATAATAACAGATATAATTAGTGTGGGTTATTCAGACTAACAGACAGAAAAAGAAATAACGAATTAGTAAAACAGACGGTTGATTAAATTTGAAATTGATATATTTATATACATATATCAGTAATAATAATAAGTGTAGTTAGAGTTATCAGAAGAGTAATACAGGAGAGAATGTAAAGAAGTGAAACGACGAATTTAATTGTGTACCTCTGAGGGGTGCACGGGATTTTGAGGGGATAGGCCATTTGGACGCAGTCCTTGTGTCGCTGCATGATTCTCCAGTCATTGCTTAAACGTGTCCATAGACGGTGCCATAACTACATCTGCCAGTAAGGAGATCTAGGGACAGGAAGCCCGCAGTGAAAAGAAGAAGTACGAGCGATTCTGGGTCCTTGCCTTCTGGTGAGCTTAACTTCGTGATTTCCACGAGGAAGCCTATACATACGCAATCGTAGAACACCTTTGTTTGGGTGATTCCGGTCATTTGTTATCTTGTAGACAGTAATCAAATCCCTCCTAAGCCGATGGTAGCTAAGTGTGAACAGGCCTAATTTCTTTAGCCCTTCATCATATGGTTTACGGAGACCAACCACTCTTTTTGTCGCCCGTCTTCGGACTCTTTCCAAGAGGTTGGTGTCTCTTCTAAGCAGTGAGGGTGTGGCAATTGACTATTTCTATCTTTGTATTGTTTAAATACTTACTGTTGATTGTTAATTTTTCATATATGAATTGCATTAGAATTCCGCTAAATACAAATTCCTGAATTCCGCCCTCTCTGCGTTTTGTTTGGATTCTTGTAATTCGGTCATCTTGAAATACTAATACTACGATTACAATAAATTACTACAAATTGACGTCACGATGGAGCTAAGTAACCTGGGAAAATTTCCTATTAGTGGTTCTCCACGGGAGATTGCTGATTATTTGGAATGCTTCGATACGTGGTGCATTTCCAAGAATGTTCAAGATGACAAAATACCAGCACATTTCATCACTGCTATTGGGCTAGATGCGTATAGCCTAGTAAAGACTCTGTCGTTTCCAGATAAACCTATTTCTCTGTCATATGTCAAGATCCGTGAACTTCTGACAAATCACTTTCATGTGACTACATTTGAGACCAGAGAGAGGGCTCAATTCAACAAACTGGTTCGTGCTCCCAACCAGAGGATTAGAGACTTTATTCTGCAACTCCAAATACAAGCTTCAAAGTGTAACTTTGGAGATCAGCTGCATACTCAACTACGTGATCGTCTAATTGCTGGAATCAATATTCCTAAATTAGAGAAAGAGTTAATTCAGATTCCCTCTTGTACGTTTCAAACTGCTAAAGATGTATGCATTACATATGAAGATGTCAATAATGAATACTCTGCTCCCACTACGTCAGTGTCTGATGTTATGCTTTCTAAAGTGAAAAATACAAGTGGTAATGGAAAGAAATCCAAACTGCCGTCCACAGGTAATAGAATGCAGCGAGAGATCAAAAACATTAAACCGTGTTTTTCCTGTGGAAAGTTACATCTACGAAGCACTTGCCGTTTTCGGAGTGCTAAGTGTCACAAATGTGGTAAAGTTGGACACATCAAGACGGTTTGCAGGAGTTCGAGTACTTATGTTGCTCAACATTCTTATAATTCTCCCAAGCTGTCTAGTAAAATGGAGTCTATGTGTCTTTCAACTCTTCCCAATACTCAATCTCATCTAATGAGAACCTTCACTACAAGTTCAGGCAAGTCCCATTGTTTTATTATTGATACTGGGAGTACTGAATCTATAATTTCTAAGATAGATTTACAATCGATTTGTAAGAATGTCCAGATAGACCCTACTACTAGTTCAATTACAGGCATAACTGGTCATAAATTACCTCTTATCGGTACTACTAACATTTCTTTGAAATCAGACAGTGGTAATTTTGTAAATATTCCCTTTCTTGTTAGTGAATATGGTCCATCTTTATTGGGATTAAAAGCCCTTAGATTGTTAAATGTCGAAATCTCACTTTGTACTGAGTTGTTTGATGAATCTTTGTTCAGAGAATTACTTCTCCAATGTTCAAAGAGTGTAGGTGGTATGAAGATTCAGCCCATCCATCTTGAAATAGAGGGGGATCCTATCTTCCTGAAACGCCGATTAATTCCATATGGATTGCAAGATGCAGTTAATAAAGAGTTAGACAAGTTGGTTGAGCAAGACATACTTATGCCAGTTGAGTCTTTAAATTGGGCTACTCCTATTGTTACGCCACTAAAGGCTGATGGAAAAACACCTAGAATTTGTGGTGACTACCGCCTTACACTCAATAGTCGTCTACTACAGCAAAGTTGCACTACTCTAGAAACTGAAGACATTCTCTACAAGCTACATGGCTCAAGATACTTTTCCAAAATAGATCTAAAAGATGCCTATTTGCAAATTCCTCTTGATGAGGCGTCTGGTGCATTAACAACCATTAATACTCCATTTGGATTGTTCAAGTATAAGTTCTTGCCTTTTGGTTTAAAGGTTTCACCCGCAATATTTCAAAATGTAATAAATCAGATGATAGATGGATTAGATGGTGTTGAGTCATACCAAGACGACATTATAGTTCATGGTCCTAATATCGAACTGCATAATGAACGTCTTTTAAAACTGTTCAGGCGTTTATGTGAGAGTAATGTTCTTGTTAATCCATCTAAATGCCATTTCACTTTGTCGTCTGTATCATGCTTGGGATACACAGTAGACTCTGAAGGTTTCAGACCTGATGCTAGTCGTTTGGCACCTCTAATTCAAGCACCATCACCTAATAATATGTCATCATTGAGATCATGGATAGGTACTCTTCAGTTTCACTCCAGATTCATTCCCAACTTCACTCAACGGTTATCTCCACTTTTTGAGATTGTCTCCAGTAAACAGTTTAAGTGGGGACAACAACATGAGAATATCTTGCGAAAAACTTTGGAGTTTCTTAATAAACAAGCTTTCCTAAGACCTTTTTCATCGAAAGATAAGTCTGTTCTCACTACAGATGCTTCTCCTATGGGTATAGCTGCAGTACTTGAGCAAAATGGACAACCTGTTATTTGTATTTCAAGACGTCTAAGTAAGAGTGAACAAGGGTACTCACAAACCCAGAAAGAAGCTCTAGCAGTTGTATGGGAAATTAGACGCTTGCACAAGTATCTCTTCGGAACTAAGTTCCACATAGTTACTGATCATCAAGCTTTGAAAATCATTTACAATCCAGAAAAATCTTTGAATAAATCATCTGCTGCTATGGTTCGAAGATGGAGTTTAGAACTAAGTGCATATGACTACACTATTGAACATAGATCGGCAAAGGATATACCTCATGCAGACTTCTTATCTCGTTATTCATTATTTGAAAATGTTGCTAATTATACTGATTGCTTATTAGTCCAGCCGTTACCGGTGGATCGAGTTCGACTTATAAATGATACTCGGAAATATTACGGATGCGTTATAAATGCAACAAAAAGAGGTTGGAATATTTAGTGTAAGCGAAGATTTCCAGACTTTTATAAGCGAAGAGATGAGATTTCAGTCCATCCTGAAGGATTTCTATGTCTGAATGACAGAATTATTATTCCTCCAACATTAAGATCTGCAATTTTGGATGATCTACATTCTGCTCATCTAGGAGCTGATAAGATGAAATCATTAGCACGCCTAACATGCTGGTGGCCGGAAATTGATGCTGACATTAACAAAAGATCAAAGAGCTGTTCTAGCTGTTTACATAAAATGTCCTATGGGAAGTCATCGTGGACACCGTGGCCTGCATCCTGTGAGGTTTGGCAGCGTATTCATGCAGATTACTGTGGTCCATTCTTAAATTCATATTATGCTTTAGTTATTGTGGATTCTTATTCTAGATGTCCAGAAGTCATCATTACAGATAGTCCTAATGCCAATTTCACTCACAGAGCGTTGAGAAAGATTTTTAGTCGAGAAGGAATTCCAGATGTCTTAGTTACTGACAATGGCACTCATTTTACGGAGAAGAACTTCAATGATTGGCTCAAACATATAGGTTGTCCTCATTTGTACACAGCAAAACGTAATCCTCAGTCAAACGGGTTGGCAGAAAATTTTGTACGAACATTAAAGAGTGCTATAGCATCAATGATTTCTCAAAATTTTGATGAGCTAGAGAGATGTGTGGATAACTTCTTACTTCAATATCGCAATGCGGAGCATACAAGTACTCATGAAAGTCCTGCAAAACTATTCAAATCTCGAATTCTCAGGAAGCATCTGATGTCCACGACTTCTGATGTACATTATTACAGAGGGAATGATTATATACCTTCTGTTGGTATCATACTACAAAGAATGGGAAATCGAATGGTGAAGATATTAGACAT